GTATCATCACCACCATCAACACTATCATATCACCATCACTATCACTGTCACCATTACTTTGGCCACTTGATGAGAAGAGCAGACTCATTGGAAAAGACCCTGATGCTGGGAAAGATTGAGGGCAGGAGGAGAAGGGGGTGACAGAGGGTGAGATGGTTGGATGCCATCACCGACTCAATGGACATGAGTGTGAGCAAACTCTGGGAGACAGTGAAGGACAGGGAAGCCTGGCATGCTGCAGTGCATAGGGCCTCAAAGAGTCAGACACGACTTAGCGATTGAACGACAAGAGTCACCATTATCATCCTCAGTACCACCATCATCATGACCAGCATCACCACCACCAGCATCATCGCCATCATCACCATTATCACCATCTTCATTATCATCACCACCAGCATCAACAACTTTAACAGTAGAGGGTGTCAGGGCCTTTTGAAAGGGGCTGGACTCCCCAGAGGAGAAGCCCTGACCACTGTTATTCCAAGGTCATATGCCAAGACCTTGTGACCCATCTAATTTGGACGCCTCCAGGGGGCACATGAGTGGAGAGAGGCCAGGAGCAGAAGCCTTAGGTTCAGGGTTATTTGGCTGGGTAGCCTTTCCCTTCTCCTGGGGATCTTCCCAACCCAGGTATTGAACCCAGGTCTCCCACATTGCAGGTGGATTCTTTACCAGCTGAGTCACAAGGGTATCCCAAGAATACTGGAGTGGGTAGCCTATCCCTTCTCCAGCAGATCTTCCCGACCCAGGAATTGAACCGGGGCCTCCTGCATTGCAGGTGGATTCTTTACCAACTGAGCTATCAGGGAAACCCCTGAGTAGAATCACCCCCCATCTAATTTTTTGGAGGGGGTTACAGTCCTGATGCTGGGAAAGATTGAGGGCAGGAGGAGAAGGGGATGACAGAGGATGAGATGGTTGGATGGCATCAATGGATGTGGGTTTGAGTGGACTCCGGGAGTTGGTGATGGACAGGGAGGCCTGGCGTGCTGCGGTTCATGGGGTCGCAAAGAGTCGGACATGACTGAGCGACTGAACTGAACTGAACAGTCCTGATGCTAGGGCTACACCCTGGACTAATTAATTCAATGAGAACCTTCAAGGAGTGGGAGAGGAGTGGGATCAAGAACCAGGTGTTTCCATGTACAGACAGTGGCGAGAACCACTGGTTTAGAGGCAGTTTTATAGGCTCAGGTTGACTAGTGCTTCTCGAACTGTAATGTGCAACCAGTGAGTGGCTCAAATGCAGATACTGAGTCATTGGTGCTGGGCTGGGGCCTAAGAGTTGGCATCTCTCCCAGGTGATGCTGTTGCTGCAGGTGCCTGGACCACAGGCTGAGGAGTGTTGGGAGGGGTGCGGGGTGGGGTAGGGGGCTGGGGAGAGCCCCGCTGCAGGATCAGACAATCTCCTTTGCAGTTCCAAAGTTAAATGGCCTCAGCCGGTTGCTAGCTGTGTGATGTTGGGGGCAAGACATTCAGTGCCTCTGATTCCAGTCCTCTCATCTGTAAAATGGTGGTGAATAAGACTTGTTTCACAGAAGCAAGCAAATAGAGTAAGATCAAGTTCATGTTTTATACATCCAGTGCTCAAGCATTTGCCTGGCACACTAATTGTCCAAATGTATCTCATATGATATCTATATATCTATCTTGCTGCTCAAAGGCCTGTCAATCTCTTGGGTTAAACCAAATTCCTGCCGTAGATTTTTATTTTCCCCAGAGGTTGGGGGCAGGGCAGATAGAGATTCAGGCAGAGGAATGAGGACTTACAGGTATTCAGGTGGTAATGAAAGAAAATTTTAATGCCTTACCTCCAGCTCCCCAGCTAAGGGACCAGGAATTCTGAATGTACCCAAATCTCCCCATGGACCTCTTCACAGCACTTTCTGGGGTGGGGGGGGGGTGGTCAGGCAGGGTCCCAGCCTGCAATCCAGGAGCCAGAGCGGGCGCATCCAGGGAGGGCAGAGGTACCAGTAGGAAAGGGCTCCCATGTGCTCCCCTCAGCATGGCATGGAAGGCCTGGACAAGGAGTGGGCAGTTCTGGGTTCCGCTTGCCCACTAGCCATCTGGTGTCTTGAGCAAATCAAACACTTTCTCTAGATCTTCAGCTCTGAAATCTGGCTGATAGTAATAAGGGAGGTGAATGGGGTCACAAACGTGAGTGGGGGGAGTGTTACATCAACATACGGGCTCCTTTATAACGAAAGGCACCCAAACTGCCCATCTTTCTGAATTTGATAGCAGATTGTGTCTGTGGGGATTAATGAGAAAATATTTGTGCCTGGCCCTTAAGAGGCTTCCCCAACTTTCAGGGAACAAGGGGGTGGATACCCCCCAAGAAGTGGCTTTTCTTTGTGGGAGGCAGAGCTGGGCCAGCACTGAGGCAGGATGCTCCTTCCTCAGAAAGAGTCCTGTGAACCCAGGGAGACCCAGGAGCATCTCAGCAACCCTGAGGCAGGGCCCCCACTTCCCTCATCCCCATGTGCCTGTGATGTCCCACTCTGCAGGGCTCCTCCTTAAACACGTCCCCACCTAGGCGGGAAGGCTCAGAAGGACTAGCCCAAGGACCCTCTCTTCTGACCCCCCTGTCCAGATGCATCACACTCGTTCCTTGACAGAGGCACATTCTGGGCCCCTGCCTGCCCTCTGCTTTGCCCTCCCAGTGCCCCTGGCTCTCCCCTTAAAGCCCTCGGCCCTTAGAAGGGGATCCCCTTGGAAGGAGTTGGCGAAGGCCATCGGAAGGCCCAGGCCTGCCCGCGAGGGTATCTCCTCCTGCCACACGTCCCCTCTAATCTAAGGTAGAGAGGCCAGCAGATGCTTGCCCTTAAGAGGACAGAGTTGGATGTGTGACTTAATAAGGTTGAGAGCTGTAAGTAATCCCCCGAGTACTGTGTGCCCCGTAACCCAAGAGGACCTGGCCCGCACGCACCTGTTTTCACTCCTTTGCTGATAGCAATATAAAAAGCACGCTGGTTAATGACTCTAGGAACTGACCAGGGGTGGCAGTTCCCATCGGCCCTGTCTTGGAAAGATCTGCCAGGCGAGCCAGGCTGCACGTGCCCGCCCGCACGGTTGAGGAAGGACTGGAAGGGCGGCGCCCAGCTTTCATCCCCCCGGGGGAGGCTGGCAAGGCCGGGGCGGGGCTGGAGCGGGTCAGCTGCTCGCTCAGAGCCCAGCCTCGGGTCAGGAGGGGGGCACGCCCGCTCTGCCGGCCACGCGGGGCGGTTCCGAAGACCAGGGAGGGAGGAGCCCCACCGTCCCCGCAGGTCCGCACCGCTCTCCCTCCGGGAGACAGGCTGAGTTTTTAAGAGTTGTGAGAAGCAAAGCGCGTGCCAACCCCTTGACACTGACCCCTCGTGTTCTGATCATCTAGAACTGCAAGTTTCCGCTTCGGGTGGCACGGAAGATGTTGGCAATTTGTTGGAGAATCATTTCTCTGCCGGAGACGCAAGTCTAGAGGAGAAAGAAAGGGCGCTTCTGTCAGAGGCGGCCCCTGGAGAGACGCGCCCGCTCCTTCACCCCACAGAAGGCGGGGAGGATGGGAGCTCGGAGAAGACAGCTGCCGACGGTCTGGGCTCGGATCCCGATCCCGATCCCGAAGCCAGCCTCTCCAACGCCTCGGCCTCCGAGTCTGCTGCCCCGGGGGAACCTGTGGGGCCCGTGGCGGAAGATGCGGACCCGCCGGGAGCGGGCCCGCCGGGAACAGCGAGCGCCCTTCCCCCAGGAGGGGAGGAGGAGCCCGGGGAGGAGGAAGGGGCGCGGGAGCTCAGCTCCGGAGAGGGCCCAGGACAGGAGGCGGAGGGGCCGGCTGGGAGCGGCGAGGTCCCCGAGGAAGCTGCGGAGGCGCTAGGGGAAGACCCCGCGCAGGGAGCAGCGGCGGGGGCCCCAGAGATTGAGGACGCAGGGGACTCTCCCAGCCAGGAGGTCGAGACAGGAGGGGAGGGCAGCCCAGGGCCCGGTCAGGAGCCAGAAGTGCCTGATGGAGCCGCGGATGTGGACGCAGAAGCCGCGCAGAGGACGGAGGACCAGGCGGAACCCAGCTCCAGCTCCGCCGCGGCCGCTGAAGACGCTGCCGCGCGTGAAGAGGACGGGGGCTCCCGGGAGCACCGCCCCGCGGAGGGGATACCCGCGGAGCACCCGGACGAGGCCTCCTCTGAAGAAGAGGGGGGTGAAGAATCCGAAGAGGACAGCGGCGACGAAGAGGACAGCGGCGACGGGGCTAGTTCGGAAGAAGCCGGGGGCGCCTCGGAAGAGGAGGAAGCCGAGAAAGAAGCTGGGGAAGGAGCCCACGCGGCAGCGGGAAGCGCGAGCCCCGGGGAGGAGGGGTCCCCGGAGGAATCGCCCGAGGGTGCCGACGCGCAGGAGCCCAAGGAGGAGGGGCCACAGGGTAGGGGGCGTCACAGGGCTGCCCACCTCCCCCCCGCCCGCCGGGCACCTCGACGGAGGGGGCTGCTTCGGGCATTCTGGCAGCTGCAGTCTTCCCGGAGGTCTTGTATGTAGGGGCAGACAGGGACCGGCAGGGCGGGCGGGAGAGCCTCCAGGCAACCGCGGGGGTCGTGGGGCAGAGGCCCCATGGGGGTTCCCGGCCCTCTGGGTGCCTCCGGGCTGTTCCTTAATCACTTATCCCCACTTCAGAGAGACGCACTGAGAGCCTGCAGCCTGGAGGGCCCAGAGGAACCTGGTTACATCTGAGTTAGGCCATCAGAAACTTATCCGTTAGAGTCCCTCCTTTAACACAGACCAGTGCCTAAACCCCAAGGACAAGGGACACAGGGGCAGGATTTGAGGCCGGGAGGCAGGCTGGTGGGTGTGAGGTGCGTTGGGGGACCACGATGGTCGGCTAGCTCCTGGGACCTCCCCTTGAAGACTAGGTCATGTCAGGATCCTGATAAGAAACACTGGGCTGGCTGTACGTCCAGCAGGTGTCTGTCCCACAGATGTCTGTCCTGCAGATGAGTGGCTGGAGCAGCCACCCTCAGGGGTAGGGGACAGGGTGGGGGGATGGAAGTGGGCAGGACCTAAGTTATTGGGCAGCATTAGAGGTGTGTCCAGCACTGGCCATGGCCTCGTCCACTGAGTACACTGACCTGGGCCAGGAATTGGCTTGTAGGACGGAGGCATTGGAGTCAGTCTTCAGTTTCCAATGCAGGTTTCCTTGCAAGAACTTCATTTCCACACTGGTAGGTTTCCTTGCAAGAACTTCATTTCCACACTAGTCGGGTACTTGCAATGGGGGACCCTTCCCCTGCCCTCCCAGATCTGGGTCTGATCGCAGAAAAGATCACCCTGTTGAGATACATTGATTATTCTCTGCTCCCGTCCCTCCTGGAACTGGTTTCCCCTTGTTCCCACAGGCCAGGTCCATCCTCCTTCCATCACCTAAAATTCTTTGTGCAATTAGCCCAGGATTAAAAAAAAAAAATGGCTGTGATGTTAAGAGGCCTGGGAATATGAGCACCCCTCCCTGGGAGCCTCAGGTGGTCATGGGCACCTCTTGCTGGGTCAGAAGCAACAGTGTACCCCCCACTCCCTCCCCCCTCTCCCTACTCCCCCTCCGCTCCCCAAGACTCCCTGTAGCAGCTCTTCCTAATGAAATGCTCACTTGACCAAGCCAGTGGTCCACATAGAACCTGAAAGTCAGTCTCCTATAAACCACTCCTTCTCCTGTCCTGGATCTCAGTTCACAGGCAACCCTCAGAACATTTTCCAACTTCCCCAGCTAAAATGTCACAGGCACACGTCTTAGGCCCTCCCAGCTTCCGGACTCTTTCCTCCCGAAGCCACATCCACATCGATGCCTGTAATTGTATTACTTTCCAGGTTACTTCTCCCTGTTTCCCCGCAGACTGTGGAAAACTCCACGTGGGCAGAGCTGGGTCGGTTTGGGGCACCGCGGCATTCACAGCACAATGCTCCGTGCTTGGCGCGTGTATAGTAGGTGCTCAGTCAACATTTGCTGAATACCTAAAATGGATCGTGGAGCTTCACAGATGTTGAGTTTGGATTTTCAAAGTCCCTCCTAGAGACAGAGCTCCGTGCAGCTGAACCTGGACCGGCTCCGGTCAGCACTTGCTTGCGATCCTGCCCCCCCTGCCCACTCCCCAGCTTGCCTGACTGGAGGGAGAGAGAGAGCCAATGGCTCCTCACTCTGCCCTAACCTCCATCTCTGCTTCTTTCCCCAGAAGAGGCGGAGGATGTGAGTGAGGAAGCCCCGCTGAGGGACCGCTCCCACATCGAGAGGACTCTGATGCTGAATGAGGACAAGCCAGCTGATGACTTCTCTGGTAACCAGAGGCAGGGGCTGGGTGGGGCCGGGTGAGGAGGGGAGATCCCCGGGGCCAGTGGCCAGGCAGAACCTCTGAGTCTGTAGCTGAGGCCGGCAGACACCCCAGGGGAGGAGGAGAGTCCTGGAGTTGAAGGGAGGGGAGCGCTTCTCTTCGTGGAGGAGGCTCTGTGAGCAGCGTCCAAGCTGGAGGGCTCTGGGTTGGCAGGAAGGAGGAAAGGCAATCCAAACAGAGGGACCAGTTGGGGATGCACATTGCAGACCTGGGGACGGTTGTTGCTCAGTCGTGTCCCACTCTTGGGGACCCCATGGACTGCAGCACGCCAGCCCCTGTCCCTCACTGTCTCCTGGAGTTTGCTCAAGCTTGTGTTGATTGAGTCAGTGATGCCATCCAGCCATCTCACCCTCTGTCACCCCCTTCTCCTCCTGCCCTCAATCTTTTCCAGCATCAGGGTCATTATGACGGTGCCAGCATCCGAGTTGTGGCCGGGGGAAGGTTGTTCATCACACTGGCTTCAAGTTTTACAGTTTATAAAGCCCTTTCGTGTCTGGTATTCCATTTCACCCTCATAGTAACCCAAGGCTGTCAGCAGGGCTTTCTGCCGCTGACGGGCAGCTGGGGAGCCTGACCCTCACGGCTCCAAGTTCATCCCTCCCTGCACCTCACTCCACAAGCCCTTTCTCCCTGGAGCCACATTTTCCCAAGAAGACACTTGGGATGTCTGAATCCTCCCAGGGTACCAGGGATGTGGTGAAGGGTGCAGGACTGGGGTGGTCATTCCTGCTTGCCTCTGATCCTAAGGCAGGTAGCGGTAGGGGGCAGAGAGAAAGAGCTGGAGTTCCCAGCACCTCGAGGTAGCCGCAGGCCGAGGTGGTGCTCTGAACTGTTGAGGGGAAGGACCAGAAGGCTAAGTGGAAAAACAAAAATGCTGTGTTGACTTTCAGGGGTGTGTGTAGGGGGAGTGCCTTCTAGATGGGGCCACAGCTGCGAAGCCCCTGCCTGACCTTAACCCTTCACCCTTCTCTGCCCCCAGCGGTGCTGCAGCGGCTTCGAAAGATCTACCACTCGTCCATCAAGCCCCTGGAGCAGTCTTACAAATACAATGAGCTTCGGCAGCACGAGATCACAGGTACCGACCCCGCCCGCCCCATCTCTCCACCAAGCCCTCGAGGTGGTGGGGTGGGGGGTGCCCGGAGACCTCAGAGAGAAGGGCCAGACTTTCCCAGCAGGTGTGCCCTTGATCTACACAAGTATTTACATTTCCTCTGTGAGATTGTTGAGTGCACTTTGGGTTTCCAAAAGATGCCAACTTCCTGACTGCTGTGCTCCAAGCCCCCATGGGGCTCCTCATTCACTTACAGATTGAGTCTTCTCTCCCCTGTCCACTTCCCATGGGTCTGGATTCTTTTAAATATTGATTTTCAAAATCATTAAAAAAAATAAGATAAACTGGCAACCAAAAATATTTCTGTGCAAAATAGTACAAGTTGAAAAATTTTAAAAAATCCCTGTCTTGATTTCCAGTCTCTCTGATTCCACTCTCAGAGACGCATGCGGCTACGGTTTCTCATCAGGGCCTCCAGACAGCACTCTGCTTCCATGCCCACGGGTGTCTTTTCCTCTGTTTTACAAAGATGGGATCACAGCACACAATTGCTCTTTCTGGTCTTTGAGAGCCCACCACCTTAGATAGCATACCCTGTTGATGAACCACTGGGCGTTTGCCTCGTTCCCTTTTCAGAGTGTTACAGACACTGCTACAGTTGTTCCATATTTCACACAAGTTTATTTATAGGATTTTTTTTTTTTAAATAATGCTGGAATTCAGCATTCTGATAGTTGTTGTCCAGTTGCCTTAGGTTGTCCTCTGTATACCGCAGCAACAGGACAGAGTTCTCGATGCCTCCCAGCAAGGCCACTTTAAAGTGTCTCTTGTCTTGGAAACCTGTTGACAATGACATCTAATTGCTATTATTGTTCTAGTTGTTTTTTTCAAGGGGCGGCAGAAAAATTCCTGTTTCACCTTTGATCACCTTTCTTTTTTTAAAATTTAATTTAAAATGTTTTATTGGAATATAGTTGCTTTACAATGCTGTGTTAGTTTCTACTGTAAAAGTGAATCAGCAAAGTGAATCAGCTGTACGTACACATAGATTCCCTCTTTTTTGGATTTCCTGCCCATTTAGGTCACCACAGATCACTGAGTAGACGTCTCTACTATACAGTAGGTTCTCATTAGTTATCTATTTTAACATAGTTTATAGGCTTCCCAGGTGGCACAGTGGTAAAGAATCCGCCTGCCTATGTAGGGGATGCAGGAGACATGGGTTTGTTTCCTGTGTCAGAAAGATGCCCTGGAGGAGAAAATGGTAGCCCATTCCAGGAGTCTTGCCTGGAGAATTCCATGGACAGAGGAGCCTGGTGGGCTACAGTCCATGGGGTCACAAAGAGTTGGACAGGACTGAGGAACTGACCATGCACACATGCACACTGCACTAGTGTATATATGCCAATCCCAGTCTCCCAATACGACCCAGCCTGAGACGGGAATCTAATTTGCTTTTGAGCAGGGAGTGAAATTGCACGTCCCTTCCTGTGTTAGTTGGCTGTTTCTGCATCGTCTCCTGTGACGCTGTGCAGGGAGGGGTTTGTTGTAGGGCCTTCCTCATCCTTGCTTTACAGAAGGCGGACCAGAGGCCCAGAGAGACGCTGGGCTGCCCAGGCCACACAGGCTGGAATTAGGAGCTGTAACTTCCTCCGTCTCCTCCTTGTTTCACCATTCCTTTGCAGGCTTCTCAGAATGTTCAGGCCAGAGACGGCAGGCAGGCGGCCTGTGGGGATGGCACTCTGCAGAGAGGGCATCCCTGGGACCTGATATCTCTGTCCAGGCACCCCTCCTCTCCCCTCTTCTCTTGCCAGTGTCCGGGCTCTTCCGAGCCCAGGGTCATCCTCCTGTGACCTCCCTCCTGGGTGCCGCACCTGTAGCCTCCTGCATGTGCCAGTGCCGCCCCCTGCTGCAGGGAGCGGAAACAGCAGCTGGGAACACCGGCGAGGTGGTCTTGCAGGGGAGCTGGAAGGCCAGGTTCCCCTTAGTGGGGCCTGGGCTGGGGAAAAAGATGCTCCTTGTAGGAGCTCTGTGGCTGTGACTGGGGATTCCTGCCACCCCCATCCCCCTCCTTCCTGTTCCTTCCTGCACCCCAGCCAGGGGTTGTTCTTCAGTTATTAAGTCATGTCTGACTCTTTTTGACTCCATGGACTGCAGCATGCCAGGCTTCCTTGTCCTTCACCATCTCCCGGAGTTTGCTCAAACTCACGTCCATTGAGTTGGTGATACCACCCAACCATCTCATCCTCACCCATCCCTTCTCCTCCTGCCCTCAATCTTTCCCAGCATCAGGGTGTTTTCCAGTGAGTCGGCTGTTTGCATCAGGTGGCCAGAGTACTGGAGCTTCAGCTTCAGCATCAGTTCTTCCAATGAATATTCATCGTTGATTTCCTTTAGGATTGACTGGTTTGATCTCACAATGAACTTTGGGAAATTCTTAAAGAGATGGGAATACCAGATGTGGTCTCACACACGCATTCAAATATCTGGAAGCACACACAGCCTAAGCAGCTTGAGGACATGGAGGGGAGACTCTTCTCTGTATACCTTTTTATACTTCTGATTTTTGAATCAAGAAATGAAATCAATTAACATTTTAAAAAATAACTGAAAGAAAGGAAAAAAAAACCACCACAGTGCCTCCTGTGTTAAGGCCTTGCCTGCCAGGCTCAGCGGGGCTAAGATGTCTGGAGAACTTTAGGTACTAAGCTGGTGGTCCAGTGGTTAAGACTCCGTGATTCCAATGCAGCAGGTGTGGCTTTGAGCCCTGATCTGGAAACTAAGATCCCACATGCCTTGCTGCAGGGCCAAAAAAAAAAAAAAAAAGCTGTGCATGGCCGACTCTATGTGCCCTAAGGGCTGGAAGTCTGCAACAGGAGACTGTGAATCTCCCATGTGGAAAGCCTCTCACTGTCCCCTCCCCATCCCTGGGTTTTGAAAGCACTAGAAAATTCTGCTTTTTCTTCTCAGGGACCCGCACTGGAGAGGCCCAGGCAGGGTGTTCTCCCCAACATGGGACAAGAACCCGAGAATTGCTGAGTCAGTGCTTGGTCCTGGACACTGGCAAACGCGTCATGGACTTTGGAGGCTGACATTTGAGACCGGCCCTGTTGCCTGGCTTGGGCTGAGCCTGAGGAGGGGTGTTGGGGGGTGCAGCTAAGCAGAGGGAGGCAGGGGGCAGGCAGCGCCCGGGTCCAGACCATCCCAGAGGGTATAAACCTCTTCCATGACTTCTTCTGTAACCAATCCAGGTAGCGGCATTTTAGCCTCTCCTTGGTGGCCGCTCTCTCCTGCCCCTCCTATGAATGGTGCGTTCCCAGATCTGAGCCTGGAGGTCTCCCCCAGTGTGAGTTCTGAGTCAGTGTTTGTTGACCTCAGTGGATCCCTCCCTCTCGGGGGCCGGTGTGCTGTGGGTCTGTGCATGGTCCAAATGCTGGTGTGCCACAGTCCAAATGCTGTATTCTCTTGGGTGCTAACTGGGTCATCACACTAACACAGAACAAGACGTGCTCCTGACCATGCCATGTTCCACGGTCCAGGGTAGAAACCCACAGGTCCTGATGGACTGTCTGGGGCACAAAGTGAAGAATCCTGTCCCTCCACAGTGAAGAGCTTTGAGTTCATGTCCATGTCTTGTCCCTGCTGCCCACAGATGGGGAGATCACATCCAAGCCGATGGTCTTGTTCCTGGGGCCATGGAGTGTTGGCAAATCCACCATGATCAACTACCTCCTTGGCTTGGAAAACACTCGCTACCAGCTCTACACAGGTAACAGCGTGACTTTCTTGTGTGCCTGTTGGCATTTCAGTGTCACATGTAAAAAGTATTGTGAAAAAAATGAAACATTTAGGGGCTGTAGTGTATGGCACAAAGTACCAGGGAAGAGATCCTGTACCCACTAAACTTAAGCTGTAATGCCATGCGGAAACACTTGGAGATCAGTGAGGTATCTATGATTCAATATACAAAGATTTAAAGGGGTTACATTAGTTTTAAAAGATATATATATATATATATATATGTAAAATCAGAAATGAGTTAAAATTATTTGACTACACAGGAAATTTTCTTTTTTTAAATTACAGTATAGCATTAATATAGGGTTTCCCTGGTGGCTCAGTGGTAAAGAATCCTGCTGCCAATGCAGGAGATTCAGGTTCGATCCCTGGTCTAGAAAAAGCCTTTGGAGAAGGAAACAGCAAGCCCTTCCAGTTTTCTTGCCTGGAGAACCCCATGGACAGAGGATCCTGGTCAGCTACAGTCCATGGGGTTGCAGAGTTGGACAGGACTTAGTGACTGAACAGCAACAAATGTGTGGTGTAAGTGAAAGTGAAAGTCGCTCAGTTGTGTCCGACTGTTTGTGACCCCATGGACTATACAGTCCATGGAATTCTCTAGGCTAGAATACTGGAGTGGGTACCCCTCCCTTCTCCAGGGGATCTTCCCAACCCACAAATCAAACCCATGTCTCCCACATTGTGGGCAGATTCTTTACCAGCTGAGCCACAAGGGAAACCCAAGAATACTGGGGTGGGTAGCCTATTTCTTCTCCAGCGGATATTCCCGACCCAGGAATCGAACTGGGGTCTCCTGCATTTCAGGCAGATTCTTTACCAACTGAGCTATCAGAGAAGCCCAGTGTATGGCACAGGGAATATAGAAAACAACACTAGTAACTTCGTATGGTGACAGATGGTAACTGGACTTACTGTAGAGATCATTTCTTAATGTATGAAAATAATGAATCACGCTGTTGTACACCTGAATCTAACACGATATCGTAAGTCAGTTATATTTCAACTAAAAAAATAGGATTTTGCATATTAAAAAAAGAAAAACAAAAATATTCATACACATCTTCAATATAGTAATGAAAATTATGTGCAAGAAACTGGCAGTTATACCCATGTTCACGGCAGTGTTATTTGCTATGGCTAAGAGGTAGAAACAAACCAAATATCCATCAACTGATGATGGGTAAAAAACATGTGTTCATTCCACCTGTACAAGGGAATATTATTCAGCCTTGAAAAGGAATTAGTTTCTGATACATGCTACAACATGGCTGAATCTTGAAGACATGCTAAGTGAAATAAGCTAGACATAAAACGGCAGATATCGTATGATTTCACTTCTATGAGGTCCCTAGAGTCATCAAATTCATGGAGATAGAAAGTGCAGGAGAGGGAATTCCCTGGTTGTCAAGTGGTTAGGACTCGGCACTTTTCCTGCTGGGGAACTAAGATCCCGCAAGCCAGGCGCCATGGCCAAAAAATCAAAATAAATAAACCCTAACTTCCATTCCTCCACCCCCCACCCCCAGTAGTCTCTCCTGTGGCTCCTTTTGTGTTGCTGTGATGTGAGATGCCTGTGTCCCTTCTAACCCGTGTGTGCAGGCGCCGAGCCCACCACCTCGGAGTTCACGGTCCTCATGCACGGGCCCAAGCTGAAGACCATCGAGGGCATCGTCATGGCTGCTGACAGTGCCCGGTCCTTCTCGCCCCTCGAGAAGTTTGGCCAGAATTTCCTGGAGAAGCTGATCGGCATGGAGGTTCCCCACAAGCTCCTGGAGCGGGTCACATTTGTGGATACACCAGGCATCATTGAGAACCGCAAGCAGCAAGAAAGAGGTAATTTAACACTCATTTCTGAACAGCCTGAGCTCTGTCTTAGGAAACTGTTCAAGGCAGAGGGTGGTAGGCAGACTGGGGGAGACCAGTGTTGGCCAAGACTCGGGGATGCATTCTTTGCTTCCGGCCTTTTCTTTGTCATCACTGTGGGGCCTCCTAGGTGTGGGTACCTCATCCTTTTACTTCCTTGAGGAATGGACTGGTTTGGAGGCCGTCAGCATCTTGCCCGGGGGAGGGCTGGGCTTCTTGCCAGGAGCTCCTCGAGGTCCCTGCTGTGTCTTTGGGATTCACAAGCTGTCCAGGTGATCAAGGGCCTGGACTGATTGGATCCCTGTCCAGGTGCACTTGACCTCTGGCTAACATGGGTCTGGGTTAAACCTGACCTTCAACTGGTCCTGGTCCCAATATCTGCTTTGCCAGACCTGCCTCAACACAATTCTGTCTCAGACTTTCCAAAGCCCCGCTTGCCTTCAGGTGGCAGGGGAGTGCCACTGAATGTCACCGTGACGCAGCGCCATCTGCAGAGATGAGTCATAACGGGGCGTTTGTCAGAATAGATGAACAGATGGTGGATCTCAGTTTATGGTTATAACTCTCATTTTGTTATAACCAGATCCTGTTTTATAGCTAATAATAATATTATTGCTAATAATTATAGTAGTAAATTAACCTTTATTGCACTCTTCTAACGCACTGGATAATTTCCATGTGTTATTGGTTGATCATTGTAGAAACATTTCGAGACAGGTATCCCTACTCCTCCCATTTTGGAAATAAATTAAAGGAATTAGGATGTATTGAGCACCTACCCTGTGACTGGATGGCAGTTTTAGTTCAGTGCTTTCCTGTGTTTCTAGCAACATCGTAATCTTTATATCACCTTAGGTGATATTGTTCTTTTTGTCATTTTTCAACTAAAATGGTAAGGCTTAGAAGCATTTAATTTTCAGTTGGTTAGTGATGGAGCCCAAATTCTAGTCCAGGTCTCGATGGCAGGTCCACATTTATTTCCCCTAAGTGATGCACCCTCTCTTTTATTCCTTCTAATTCCCTGACTTATTTCCTTTAACATCTTTGCCACTGCCCCAGATCTTTTCAAGCAGTGGGAAAATCTCCATTTGGCAGAAATGTTTTGTTTTCCTGGAGCCTTGAATTCCACTGTGGATTAAAACAAGAATCAGGCCATTTTTTTTTTTTTTTTTTTTTTAGCTGTACCACGCAGTTTGCAGGATCTTAGTTCCCCAACCAGGGATTGAACCTGAGGCCTCAGCAGTGAAAGTGTGGAGTCCTAACCACTGGACCGCCAGGACATTTCCCCAGGCCGTTCTTGATTGAGGGTTGACAAGGAGCAGGAGATGTGTAATGAATTCTTTAAAAAGTCTTCAGAAACCCAGAAAATCCCTGACGTTCTTAGTCCCTTCAAAGCCACAGAATGGTCTGGTTCTGGAAGGAGGGGTGGGGGGCCTGGGTGTGGGTGGGGTCTGCGCAGCCTGACTTCTCGCTCCCTCTCCCCAAGGCTACCCCTTCAACGACGTGTGCCAGTGGTTCATCGACAGAGCGGACCTCATCTTCGTCGTCTTCGACCCCACCAAGCTGGACGTGGGTCTGGAGCTGGAGATGCTCTTCCGCCAGCTGAAGGGGCGCGAGTCCCAGATAAGGATCATCCTGAACAAGGCTGACAACCTCGCCACGCAGATGCTCATGAGGGTGTACGGGGCCCTCTTCTGGAGCCTGGCCCCGCTCATCAACGTCACAGAGCCTCCACGGGTGTACGTCAGCTCCTTCTGGCCCTACGACTACAAGCCCGACACCCACCGGGACCTGTTTCTCAGGGAAGAGATCTCACTCCTGGAGGACCTGAACCAGGTGATCGAGAACAGGCTGGAGAACAAGATCGCCTTCATCCGCCAGCATGCCATCCGGGTCCGCATTCACGCCCTCCTGGTGGACCGCTACCTGCAGACGTACAAGGAGAAGATGACCTTTTTCAGTGACGGGGAGCTGGTCTTTAAGGACATCGTGGAAGACCCTGATAAATTCTACATCTTCAAGACCATCCTGGCCAAGACCAACGTCAGCAAGTTTGACCTTCCCCACCGCGAGGCCTACAAGGACTTCTTTGGCATCAACCCCATCTCCAGCTTCAAGCTCCTGTCCCAGCAGTGCTCCTACATGGGAGGCTGCTTTCTGGATAAGATTGAGCGGGCCATCACCCAGGAGCTCCCCAGCCTCCTGGGCAGCCTCGGGCTGGGGAAGAACCCAGGTGCTCTCAACTGTGACAAGACAGGGTGTGGCGAGACCCCAAAGAACCGTTATAAGAAACCCTAGGTGGCCGCGTTGCCATTCTCGGGCTCCCGTCATCTTTGGTGAATGAGCTTGTGTCCTGACTGTCCGAGAAGTCCTGGTTTATTAACCCTTTGAGCCACACTGGCAGGAACTGTTGCGCATTGGAGACGGGAGTTAATTGAGGCCAGTGGTGGGGGAAGGGGTGGGTCGAGGGGGGGAGTGGAAACTGTGAATTAGGGCCTGCTTGTCTTGTTGCTTCAAGTAGGGGCCTGATTGAGGCATGTCAGGCCACCCCTGGTTTTCCAGGGTCCCCTCTCTTCGTGGGTGGGGGGACAGAGAGCAGCTAAACTCTAGTGTAAACTGAATTAACGAGCATCACACAGGCTAAAAGCAGCTGAAGTTCCTTTTTCCCTGATCAGCTGAGAGGCTAGAGAAGACTTGAGTTCTGCAGGGCTGTCTGCTCCGTGCACGTGGCTGCCTTCCACACAGTCTTCTGTCTGTCCCCAGCCCTTGTCTGCCTCCTGAGCTTGGGTTGGCTTCACAGGAGACGATCTCTTGGGTCTCAATCAACCTGGGTGTTGCGCCTACCCCCAGGCCCTCTCCCCTGTTTCTGCAAGGGGCAGGGAACGGTTTGGGATACCAGGATGCTGAGAGAAAACAAGCGCTCCCCAGGCCAGTTCTCTGGCACCTTCTAAGCCAGCCAGAAGCTCGGTCTCTTTCTCGGCCCCAGGAGGAGGGTGAATGTTCCATGTGTTCAGGTCATTTCCTTGTTGAAAGTGACTTCAGTGAGAGTCCCGGCAGGGCTCAGAGGGTTAATCGGTTTGCAGTGTGTCTTTGTCTATTGCATGTCTTGGAAAACTCAGACCCCAAAGGCTTTGGGTTTCAGAGGGGACAGTGGAGAGCTTGCTCCTGCTGTTGCCACAGTTTCTCCATGGAGACACTCAGCACAGGAGTCGTTCCTTCCTGGTTTTCATCACACGGCTTTTCCTTTCGCTTCTCCATTCCCTGATGCATCAATGCTTGAAACTCGGCGTAATTTCTGGGGAGTCAGAAGCAGCACCAGCCACTCGGTGCCACTGGCAACCCAGGCCTGACTGTCAGTTTCCCACCTGAACTTGATGCTGATGCCCACTGAGCGCATAGCAGGGGCGCCTGGCCTTCCAGTACCAATGAGTGTGAATGTGTGTGTGTTATGTTGTCCAAGAGAGATTAGGGAGATGACAGATGCCCGAGGGCACAGAGGAGGAGCAAGCGGTGAGAGTCCTGCCTGCCTGGTATGCCCCCTCAGAGGGCAGGAGGGGACGGAGGGACAGGGCATGGAGGGGAGAACATGGAGGGGACAAGCCTTTTGATAGATGGATGGGTGACGAATCTAAGTCTAGGGGACCCGGCCTGGCTGCCCCTTCTCCCCCAGCCCAGGGCCTCCTTCTGTCTGTCCTGGGAGTGAACTGTCTTGGGGGACTTCCCCAAGAGGCCTCGTCGGCACCAGAGAGGGTCTCCTAGACCCAAGGGAAAGCCAAGACAAAGGCAGAGGGAGAAGTGCCATGAGGGTCAGGCAGAGGAAACAAACTGGCACATTGATGACCACGTTAGACTCATAGAGATCTGCAGTCTGGAATTCCTTGAGTTTCTTGAAATTATCAGCACTCTGGCATGTGCTGCCTCAGAGGCTGCTTCTTCTGGCTCCTTTGGAGGATCTAGAACCTCCCACAAGAAGGCCAGAGGCCCCACCGCCTCTGGGACATGTTTCTAAGGACAGAGTCGACCAGAGAAGACAAGTCTGCAGAGGCATCCAAGGAACCTGGTGACCACACCCGGGGAGCTGCTTCCTTCTTATTCAAAACCAGCCCTGGCCTCATCTCGCCATCCTTTACACTCTCAAGGGGCTACCCTCCCACCTTGCTCCTTAATGCCCCTCCGCCCCCTCGGCTACTTTGGGCATTTCTGTTTTCCCAGCGCAGAAGGGGAAGAAAAAGTGCAGAACTGGGCATCGTCGTAGCTGCCGAGGTCAGCACTGCTTTGGGAGCAGCAGCTGGAATGAGATGAACACATTCATACGGTATTTATATTTCTGGGGGTGCATGTGACATCATCAGGGATCTTTCCCCCCTTTTCCTTTCTCCATTCAGCTTCTTTTTCTCATTCCTTTTCTTCCGCTGTTCACCCCTTGACTTCCCTTCTCTCTAACTTCCTGCAGGCTTGTCTGCCAGCCAGGGCTTTGAGCGCTATTTGGTGCCCTGCTCTGTGGAGGTGGATTTCGAGCAGAATTCTGACTCTTTGGGTGGGGGAGGGGGATCGTGGGGAACCGGGTGGGGAGTCAGGAATCCCCTAGGAGGAGTATCTGTGAACGTTTATGCCTGAACAGTTGCTGTTTCTCTCCAAAGCAGAATCTTTCCAGTGCTCTTTCCGTTCTGAGTTCATCAGGGAGAAACTCTCAATAAAGTTCCCATCTCTCTTTAACACCTCGTACTGTCTCGTGCCTCCAACCTGTGTAATCTCTTTTTTAAAATTTCTAAAGAATTTTGGCTGTACCCTGTGGCATGTGAGTTATTAGTTCCCTGACTGGGGATCAAACGCACACCCCCTGCATTGGAAGGCAGAGTCTTAACCACTGGTCCGTCCCCAGTATAAACTCTTTCTTCCTTTTATCGAGTAGAAGGGCTTCCCAGGTGGTCTAGTGGTAAAGAACCTGCCTGCCAATGCAGGAGACATAAGAGAACTGGGTTGGATCTCTGGGTCAGGAAGATCCCTTGGAGAAGGGCATGGCAATCCACTCCAGTATTCTTGCCTGGAGAATCCCCATGGACGGAGGAGTCTGGTGGGCTACAGTCCATGGGGTTGCAGAGTGGGACACGACTGAAACAACTTAGCAAGCACGCATGCACCTACTGATTTTAAGGAAGACAAATATTTTTTAAGAGCATTTTTCGGTTCATAGAAAAACTGAGAGGAAGGCAGAGGTTTCCCACATGCCAACCTCCCCCCCACAAGGCTTGCCCATTATCTACGCCCCTCTCAACAGTACATATGTTACAACTGATGATCCTCATTGACACATCATAGTCACCCAGCTCTGAATCTGCTTATGGGGCAAGCAAATGGGCACTGAAGTCCCTTTTACAAGGATCAGCCAGAGCAACTTCATGATCACGTTTAGGAAAAAGTACTGAATAAATCTGGGGTAACCATGGGACTGTACTGATATCCAAGGTGGAGCTGAGACCACCTTTAAATTAAGTCTGCAGTCAGGATGATAGGAAAATCAAAAGGGTGAAATACAGAAAACAAAATCAAGGATCATTCTAAACACAGCCTGATGACATGAGGGACGCTGTGAATGGAGAGGGTGTCTACACCTGCGTGTATGCCTCCCCTAAATATTTGGGGGTTACAGGTAGCTGTATGGATAAGGGAAACACAAACACTTGTGTGTAAAGCCTATGTGTGGGTGTAGCGACTCAGCAGATGCACATGTGGGTCTGGGGTGGTGAAGTAATTGTATGAACAGTGTGAGGATTTCAGATCACAGGAGCATGTGTGCAGGCAGATGTGTGTGTGGGGTGAACTGGGTGCCCAACCCAGGGTGGAGAACCAGGAAGATCTGGCCCAAGGAGGACATCGCAACTGCCCCCAAGCTTTACATGTGTATCCCAAAGTCTGAGCCTTGAGACATTTCAAGCCAACTTCTCTCTCTCTCTCTTTTTTTTAAAAGCCAATTTCTCTTTCCGTGACATAAGCTCAAGCTTTCCTAGCCCAGAGAAACTTGAATTTTTCTTTAGAAGACCATAAAGGCAATAAAAAAGAAGCCTAAGAGAAACAGAAAAACGAAAGTAGAGCAATGCAGCAAAGGAGGATTGAACAGGTTCTGAAGGAATCCCTTGCACCAACTTCTTATCTGAAGGATACAAAAATGGCACACATAAATGAACATATTCTGTGTCTGCCTCCACTGTGGAACCTTCTCTGGTTTACCGTAATGTCAGTGGGGAAGGGAAACAACTTCTAGAGCCCTTGTTGTGCCAGGAACCGGGCTATAGACCTGCAGACATTACCACTCTTAAGGTTACCTTAAGATAGTGCCTTAATTTTAACAGCTGTGTGCCATGCCACATTGAGGGCTTTATTTCTTTTTCCTTTTTTCCCCTTTTCTTTTTTTTGGGGGGGGGGGCTGCATTGTGTGGCTTGTGGGATCTTGGTTCCCCAAACCAAGCCACGGCAGTGAAAGCGCTGAGTCCTAAGCACTGGACCGCCAGGGAAATCCCTGCTTCATTTCATGTAATCTTCAAAATAACCCCATGGGGAAGAAGCCATCCGGACGGACTCCAGAGAAAAGGCTCTGGAGTCAGCGCTTGGGATCCATCCTGGGCTCCACCATATACTAACTGGGCAACCGTGGGCAAATGTCTTAACTTTGTGCTTCAGTTTCCTTACCCATGAAATGGAGATGTTAATAGTTCTTCTCTCATGGGGTTGTTGAGAGGATTAAATGACTTAATGCAACATACTTGAAATAGTACAGAGCCCACAGAAAGTATTCAGTACATGTTATTACTATTATTAATATACTTTACTGAAGAGGAGACTGATGGTCAGAGTGATTGGGACGATGGCATGTGTATTTGGGAGAGCTGGAATTCTATCTGAAGTCTGATTCACCCTATAGGTCATGCTAGGTTACTTGCCCAGGGTCACATTTGGTGACACTGTTCTTTCTGATCCCTTTCCCTCCTCTTCATAAACTGTCTAAAATGTTTGGTCAGTACCTTGAAGCTTGTAAGTAATAAAATCTAGAAATCATTAGAAAGATTATTGAGGATTATTTCCTGAACAACAAAACATAAAAAAAAAATCACACCCTTAATTCCATTTCAGTTTGATCTCTACCATGATCATCTTGTAAAGTATTAATAGATTGGGCAGGTATATTTACTAACTTTAAATTCAAATCCAGCCTGGGGAAACTGCATATCCAGAGAAGTTAGGTCCAAGTTCACCCCGTTAAAAGCTGACAAATCAAACTAAAAGGCCAGTTTTCTATCCATCTTGCTGTTCTTTCAACTATATTGTATCATACTGACTTGTGTTAATCTGGAGCCTAGGCCGAATTGTGATAGTACATTTTTCTGATACACTGAAGAGTGATTTTGTATTTGTGAAGACTGCAAAAAAAAATTTGTTGGTTCTATTTCCATTTTCTCCAAACTTCTGGATTTTTCTCCCACCACAACTTCAAAAGCCTTGGAATTCTCACATATTTATTTAGGCATATTCTCTGCCCTGGGGGAGCCAACAGTCCAATTAGGGAAAGAGTCATGGAACCGGAGTGACCACAGAAGTCCTCTGGGATGAAGTGACCACATTTTCTAAATCATTCATGGGGACACATGGTCTGGCAGAGGATTTTTTTTTTCCTCATTTGAAAATGTAATTATTTGAAAAGTCTGACCAATGCATATTGACTGTGAAATTTATTTTAGCATTTAATAGATTCCCTTTGTTGAGAATTTGTTTATAGCATATCAGGACTCTCCTGAGAATACTGAGACAGCCAGGGGGTTATCAAGCTTGGGAACGGAATTCTAGATACACGATGAGGGATGGGTGGGATTCGAAGGTCAGAGGCCAGGGGGATGGATCCTGGGGGGAGATCAAAGGCCCAGACTCAGAAAGGAAGACATCTGTGTGTCCAGTGAGGAATCAAGGTGAGATGAACCAGCACTTTGCTGACAAAGGTCCGTACAGTCAGAGTTATGGTTTTTCAGTACTCGTGTGCAGATGTGAGAGTTGGCTGAGCGCCGAAGAACTGATGGTTTCAAATTGTGGTGCTGGAGAAGATTCTTGAGAGTCCCTTGGACAGCAAGGAGATCAAAGCAGTCAATCCTAAAGGAAATCAACCCTGAATATTCACTGAAAGGACTGATAAGGAAGCTGAAGCTCCAAAACTTTGGTCACCTGATGCGAAGAGCTGACTCATTGGAAAAGACCACGATGCTGGGAAAGATGAAGGGCAGGATGAGAACAGGGGCGACAGAGATGACAGCCAGATAGCATCATTGACTCTATGGACACGAGTTTGAGCAAACTCCGGGAGATAGTGAAGGACAGAGGAACCTGGTGTGCTGCCATCCATGGGGTCGCAGAGTTGGATTTCACTTATCAACAACAACAAAGCAATTAAATGGAAGCCCAAGGAACCAGGGTTTGAGGTCACTCCATTTCTGAATATTGAAGGCCATGAAGAAGGAAGTTCCTGCAGGCAGCAAGTGGGCGCTGCCTAGAGAGGTGAGTGTTTAGCATCCAGGAGTCTTCTTTGGCTACCCAGTATCCCTTGGGCAATGTCCCCTTCCCCCAGTGATTCATGGCCTGATGGGTGGGTGATACTGGGTCTCTGTCCTCCCTGCCTCTTCCCCCACTCCTAGGAGCTGAGAACCAGGTGCTGGAGCCTGGTAAGGAGGCCACAGGAAGAGGCCCACCCCATCAGTCCTGCCCTACTCAGGAACCCCCGTGGGGCCCTGGACGGCTACTAGACTAGTGCCTACACCCAAATCTGTGTCCCTTCTCTGGCCCCCTGTGACGTTTTGGTCACTCCAGCCCAGTTGACCAGGGCCAGCGGACAAGAGGACAGGAAGGCCTGCATGACGGGGCAGGACGAGGACATGAGGTGCTCCTGGCCCCGGGGTCTCAGATCATCCAGTGAGGTGGGCTCCTGGTGGGGTCGGGGGCCACTTCTGGTGCGGGGACAGGTCTCCCGGACCAGCGACCTCCGCATCTGGGGACCTCAGGGTCTGCGGCCCGAATCCTCACACCGGTCAGGTGCGGTCCGAGGTCAGCGTCACGACTGGAGGGCCTCAGCCTTGGCCGGTTCATTCCCCCATTATCTCCCCCCAGCCTCCCCCGCTCCCCGCCACCTTTCAGGTGAAACCAGGGCCCGGGCAGAGCAATTCTGGACCGGGGTCATGAGGGTAGGGGAACGGGCGCCTGGTGGAACTTGGCCTGGTCCCTCAAGCCCGGCTCCTAACGCGTAAATGGCTATCCCTGAGAGGCTCGTCACCCCGACTCTGAGGGGTGCGGCGCGCGGCCGCAGCACCGGGACCCGTCGGAGCCTCGCCTGTGGGATCCCGCCCAGAGCAAGCGCCTCCGCTCGTGCCCGCGGCCCTGCCCCGCCTCCTCCGGGGCCGCGCGCTCCCGAGACACGCGCCCAGGACCGCGCATGCGCAGGCGTGCAGCGGCTCTTCCTGGGAACGCGGGCTCGACGGAGCCCGGGCGGTGGTGACTCAGCGCCTGAGGCGAGGAGGGCAGCGAGGTCCCCTCCCCGCGAGGCCGAGGAGCTTCACCTTCTCGGCCCTCGCCGCCCCCAAAGTTGAGGCCGCCCCGGGGCCGGGCTATGGTGCAAGCTCGCCGCCTCAGCCGGCTCCGTGCGCTGTCCGACCCTTGGAAGCCCTGAGGAGCTCTGAAGATTTTCATTT